AGATTTCAGCTTCTTTCGGTCCTCTAAAACTCATCTTCTCAGACATATCAACCGGAGCCAGAGCTATCTGCTTGTTCTTTTTCTCTCACCATTCAATCTTTCAGTACCATTTAACCAATTTCCCATATCGATTTTTCTGTCAAAATGACTACTTCTTGGACTGTACTCATTGTTACATAAAGTACCATCATGGCTAGTTCTTACTATTATGCTAGAACAAGTGTGTGCCACTTCTGAACTGAGACAGTTAAGGTTGTGTGTATCTCCTCCCTCTTTTTCTTCCATCCGGTACCCAAATTATTAAAGCGTGATATTGAAGTCACATGTTAAATATAATGGAATTACCTCAGAGAAAGAAACTGGTCCCAGAATTTCTCTGTAGAGAAATAGCTCACCTTTCTCTGCTTCCAAATGTTGGATTCTGATAAGTGGACACACACAACACACACACACACACACAAGCACACCTTCACTACCTTAAATGTTTATTGCTACTGAAATTTCATCACGTGTTTCAGCAGCCAGTTTTACTTATCCTTATTAATACATACATTAATGTTAATGTATACATTAATATCAATATAATTGATAATTATCAATGATTATTTATTAATATATGACCACAGTATAATTATAATGTAATATTTATGATTAATATTAATTATTAGTAGTAGCATATAAATATTAATATCTAAACTGATACCAAGAATAGAGTGCCATCGTAAAAAATCATCTTTTTTTGGAGAGATTTTTGGTACAGGGCACGCGCACTTGCCATAGAGACAGAGAGACAGAAATCAAGAAATCGCTTCCCAGGGAGGATGTCCACAAACGTTATCCTCCATCCTCCTTTCAAGATCTTGGGCATGCACACACATGTACCGGGCTTGAGTTTTAAGACTCTGAGTCCGGGACTCAAGCTGTGGTCAGCTACGTGGGAGTCTGGCGATGGAACCATTAGACCATCTGCTGGTCCCCATAAAAAAATACCCTTAATGTGCAGCATTGCTCCAGTGGGTTGAATGAAAGGACTACCACTCATAAAACAATCTGAATATCTCTTGGTCCATATCATTCAAATGCAAAATATTATTTGGTGATTATCTTCCTTGTAAAAACTTGAAAGATAAATGACTAGCGAGGTAGAGAATAGAGGTTGAAAAGATCACTTTAATATATGTTGGTTGTCACTTGATAATATTTGGCAACATGGAAGAAGTTTATAAGCAGAAATAGAAAGGTAAAGGTAGAACATGTGTCTAGGTCTTGCAGGACTGGAAAAATTGACAGCTTTTAGACCCTAAGTAGCAGGAGATGGAATTTTAAAATTGTTTTATTGAAAAAGACAAGATGAGATTTCTTATTTCAATAAAGTGTCAGGTTGGGAATGTGCCCTATTCAGACCTCATCTTCTCAAGGTAGCTACTACTAAGTTGAACTATCCAAGGGAGCCAGGAAGCCAGAAATAAAGACTATCTAAGAATTGTTTTAAAAGGAACTTGCAATGTTGTTATTCAGACACGAAACTGACTAGAGGTAAATAAATCAGAACCTTGATAAGATTTTTGAGGAAATAGAGTTGCCAATGAACATTAGCCCCAACTAAAAGTTTGTTATTTTTTTGGCAAGTCTTAAAAATAGACCTCTAAGTTGGAGGTCTGGGCCCAAAAGATGCACAGGTCCCAAAGAGGACACAACTCCAGTAGCAATGTCTGATATGCATGGGAAAAGAATGCATTTGGAAAAAAATCTGGGAGGTTTGCTATCTTTCACCTAAAAGCTTGCAGTTTTTTATCCTTAATGACGATATTCTTGAAATGTCAATTAGTTCAAGCTGTGTTATTGAGTTATATAAGGAGGAATTAATTTTTGAAAAAAAATGCATGGATTTCATTTTTTTTACCAAAATATATATGTATTTAAATTCCGTTTTTCCATAAACTTTTGAAATATCCTAATTTTATCAACTTACTGAATTGTTTGCCCAGTGATTCTACTCATTACTGAAGAAGAATAGAAACCATTATGTTTAGTTGTGAATTTTTACATTTCTCCCTTTGTTTCTGATTGTTTTTACTGTTTGTATCCCGAGGCTGTCTTATTAGGTTATGTAAACATAAGAAATAATTCTGGTGAATTGCCTTGTTTTATCACTATCGCATGTATGACTTTATTTTTTAATAATAATTCTTATCTAAAATCTACTTTGTATAACATAATTTCTTATAATTATACTGTGCATGTCATAATTTTTCTAATACTTTTCTTTTCTTTTTTCTTTTTTTTTTTTTGAGAGATATTCGCTATAGGGCGCGTGCACTCACCAGACAGAGACAGACATAGAGACAGAAAGCGAGAAATCACCCCCCGGGGGGATGGTCACGCCGCAATCCCTTCTCCTCCATTCTCCTCTCAGGATCTTGGGGACACATGCACACATGCCCGGCGTGAGTTTTAAGCCACTGGGTTCGGGATGTGAATCGCGGTAGACTATGTGGGAGTCCAGCGACATAGCCATTACGCTAACTGCTGGTTCCCAAATACTTTGTTTTCAATATATCATATAGACAGCTTAATTTCTTTATCCAGTGAGAAATTGGAAAGTCTAGACCTTTTAACTAGAAAGTCTAGGCCATTTATACTTGATGAAGTCACATAAACTTCTGATTTATGTTCCAGAACTTGATGTTTGCTATCTATTACTTATATCTATTCTTTTTTTCTTTCTTTCTCCATTTTTCTTTCTCTATTTCTCTCTCTCTTTTTTTTAATTAGGTACTGGGCTTATTTTTTTTAAAAAAAACATTCTTCAGGTAAGATTTTGATTTAACCTTTCACTCTTAGCAGAAATGTTCTCTAATTCAACTCATTTCCCCAGTTTTGTCAAAAGCATAAATTTACTCATCCTAAATATCTATTGTGGGATGTAGCTGACAGTACAGACTGCTGACACACTATTAAGCATCTTCCTCCTTGTTCATACAACTAAGTATTAACCCCATATGCCATAAGAGTAAGTGACTCATTTTATTCACTAGAGTATCAGAAAACTTTGCTAAATGCCTATTCAAATGCTGCTATACAACGACCATTATTTTTCCTTGATTGACTGGTCTAATACTTTTGTTTCAGTAGGAAATTCAGAGACAGGCATGGTGGCACGTACCTGTGGTCCAAGCTGCTTGGGATGCTGAAGAATGATTTCTAATGAGGCAAAATAATGAGATTCTGTCTCTAAATTAAAAAAAAAAGAAAGAAATTCAGTAAGACTGGCATAGTTTAGAATTCTTATGAATGTCTTTTTCTCTTGTTTTATATATCTCTTAAAGTTTATTTTATGTTTCCACAACTTTAGTGACCACTCCTATGCTGATTTCTACCAAAGGATATATGATAACATGGTCTCAGATCTTGCTCCTGATGTCCACCTGTATTTCCAAAGGTCTTCTAGAACAATATCATCCAGATGGGGTTGGCACCACAAATTCAACATATTCAAATAAGAACTTACAATCATTTCTTAAAATCTGATCCTCAAATACCTTATTTGTGTTCATGGAGATCATTTAATTAATTCCCTCAAATAACAATATTAGTGTTACATGGATCCTATTTTTTCCTCACCTATACAACTAATTCATCTTTAATTCATATTTATACCTTAATTCTAAAAAAATTCCCTCTCCTTAGTGTCCTATTAACCATATCTACAGATGATAATACATATAGGTCATCTTTTCTTGCCTGTAGAACTTCAATTGCATCCTAATAGCCATGTCTGTTGGTAGGTTTTTCTTTCCACCTTCTAGCCTCCCCCCACTGGCATTAGTATCACTTGAAACTGGGTCACAAATTCTCAGACATCATTCTAGACTTATTGGGTCAGTAGTCTATTGGTGTAGTCGAGAAATCATGGATGACTCTGACGCACATTCCAGTATAAGTACCACTACTAAGGATGTCAAACATGTCTTTCCACTAGTGCACACTATCTTTAATGCCACTATCCCTTTTCTTACTGAATCTTGGATGTGAACAGGAGTCATCATACTATAGAGAAAGACTGGAATTATCTCTTAATTTTTAATCTTAATTTATCTACATTTTAAAAGTAAATTCAAATTTATTTTTGGCCCTTTACTATCATTATCAAGTTTTTAAGGCAAATACTCATAACTGAATCAACATCAAGTGTTCCTTGGATGCCAAAGTTGAGAAACCATGACCTACACCAGTGTCAGCCAACTATACCCCTGGCACTGTTTCAACACTAAGAATATATAACTGAACTAATGAAACAAGTCTGTGTACATTTGAGTGGCAGGAAGGTGACTGATAGTAACAAGATATGCAAAGTTCTTGGGGAGGAAAGAACCTTGACTTTCTCTAAAAACATGAAGACCTGAGTAATTGGAGAAGTTAGTGTTGCAAAAAGATGAGACCCTGGTTAAATGTTTGCAAGACTTCTGATCAATAAGAACCTGTGTTCTTTCATTTCTACAGTGTCTCATAGAAGGAGGTAATATTGATTAAACGTTGCTTGCTATTCTTTTGTGTGGTAATGATTTATGTTGGTTGAAGTACAATCATCAATGATTTCTATATCAATAGCAAGAAAAATAAGAACTTGTGATTAAAATAAAAAAGAATAAAATGTAGGTCCCTTTTAGATATAAAACTGAAATGTTGTGCCCTATTTATATACAGTCTATCAGGCTGTTTAAAGTGCTAGAGTGAAGCCAGATCTTAAAATCCTCCAAATCTTGTGACACAAAGAGGTATAAAACAAAGCAAAACACTCATAGACCACCAATGATCCAGCAATGGAAAGAACTGATGACTTGAACATGAATAAAAAATAAGTTTTATGAATATATACAAATTGCTTTTATTTTTTTATGAAGGAAAAAAATACTAGATATAGGTAGATGGGGGGGGTCTCTTGAGAAGATGTGTTAATGAAACACTGAAAATTCTCATTAAGAATCAACAACGTGGCTGCACACTTTGGCAGCACATATACTAAAATTGGAAAAATACCCAAAAGATTAGCATGGTTTCTTGCAAAGGTGACACACACATTTATGAAGCTTTCTATATTTTTTAGAATAAAGAATGGACTATAAAAATGGTCTCCAAGCATGTAAAAATACACTCAGCATCCCTAATTATTATGAGAATGCAAACCTGGAACCTCAGTGAGACATAATCTCATAACTATGTGAATAGGTATAAAACAAACAAAAATAATCAAAAAGCAAACAATAATAAATCAGAAAATTACAAGTGTTGACAAGGATGTGGAGAAATCAGAACACTTATGTGATATTGTGGGAATAAAAAAAAAAGATGCAGCAATTTTGGAAAATGCTATTGTGACTTCTCAAAAAGTTTAAAACATAAACTACATGATCCAACAATTTCACTTGTAGGTTTATACAAAAAGAACTAAAAATAAGATCTTGAAGGGATATCTGCAGATGTATGTTCACAGCTTTATTCAAACTAAAAACTGATAGCAACCCAAGTGTTCATTACTGATGAATGGATATAGAAAATGGGGCATATATACAGTAGAATATGTTTCAGCTTTAAAGAGAAAAGAAATTCTGAGACATGGTACAGCATTGATGAATCTTGGGGACATTATGCCTAGTGAAATAACCCAGTCACAGTAAGACAAATGCTTTATAATTCCAGTTAAAGAGACATCAAAGTGTAGGAAAACATGTAAACAGGAAGTACAATGATGGTTGCTAGAAGCTAGCAGATAGAGAAATGAGAAATTGCTTTTTCAATGAGCATAGAGTTTCAGTTTTTCAAATGAAGACATTCGGGACATTAATTGTGCAGTAACAGGAATATATTTACCACTTCTGAATAGTATATGTATTACTGATTATACTAGTAAATTTTTATGGTTTTATAATATATTTTTTATTTTTTCAGTTTTTGTTTGTTGGAAAGTAACAGAAAGAGAAGCAGAGAGAGAAAGTGAGAATTCATCCCCTGGGGGATGGCCATGTTGTAATCCCCTCTCCTCTTGAGAATGGGCATGCATGCACAATCACCAGGCGTATTTTCCAAGCCACTAGGTCTGAGATTAGAACTGCCTACTCGAATATGTGGGATCCAGCCACCTTTATCACTACATCATCTAATGGGCCTTGTAAATTTTGGTTTCCATTTTTACCACAATAAAAACTATAAAAGGATTAAAAACACCTAGAGAGGAAGGATGCATGGTGTCAACAGATCACAGAAGTACCTGGGACATTGCAGATCACGTAGAAAAGTGATATATTTTTGACTTGTTAAAATCACATTTAAATGTCAAGCAGATTTAAAGGATTAATTGCTCCTCAGGTGTGGTAAAAAGATGAAGAACATGGAAAATCTTGTCCTATGCAACTTGGATTGAAAGGCTAATTAAAAATTGCTTTTCCTGACTTTTAAGAAAGGGCAAATGCTAAATATTCTTACACAGATTGTCTTCCCCTTTTCAAGTTTGTTGAGAGATGGCAGCTTGAAATCAGTAAAAGGTAAAAACACAGCAATGTATAATTTGACTGATTTATGGTTTAAAGGCAAGTTCATTTATGTTATTTGATGTATCATTACCAGTCCCCACTTTAAAGATAAACAAATTGAGAACCAAGAGATTGAAGAAATGTAAATGACAGGAATTACTAGCTGAGAAACTGAATAACTACCTATTCCTGACTGGGAGTAAAATTTGAGGACTCGATATTAAATTACTGTTTATGAACTACATGGCTGACTACAGTTCAAGTCCCGAACCCAGTGGCTTGTTTTCTCATTTTCTCTCTCTCTCTCTCCCTCCCCTCCTCCTCTCTCCCCTCTCTCCCTCCCTCCCTCCCTGAAGAAATAAAAAAAATATATAAATAAATAAAGTTAAATCAATTTTTAAAACTATGTTTTAAAACACTGTTTATGCTCTCTAATTTCCATTAGAATCAATCCCCTGTAAGCAACTATACATTATTTAGAGATATGGAGAATAAAAGATGCCACTTCATATGGGAAATAACTATCAACTATTGAAATCATATCCTTTGCACATGGCTCACTCAGGGTTCATTCTTTATCTGCTTGCATCAGCATTGGTTATGTTGAAGATTTCACAAATGGCTGTGCTTTGGATTTAAGGGACCTGGATTCATTAGCCCGGCTTTGCCACTCACCAAGTACATTAGCATGGGCAAGAAACAATCCCTACAATTTAGTTCGGAAAAAGCCTTCATGTACATCAAGAGGTTGTTGCAACAGTTAAATGAATTAATATGCAAGGGGGCAGTTGCATGGAAAGTGGAATTTATGTTTGCGTTTAACTAGGTTCCATTTTTTGGAAATCCATGCACAGTCATTTGTTTTGTTTTATATTAATTTGTTATGGGGCATTTGCACTTGCCAGAGAAAGAGAGAGGCAGAGGCAGAAAGTGAGAAAGTAATCTTCAGAGAGGATGACCATGCTCCAAACCCCTCTCCTCCATTCTCCTCTTAGGATTTTGAGCATGCATGTAAATGCCTGGTGGTTTTTGTTTTTTTATTTTGAGAGGTTTTTGCTATAGGGCGTGTGCGTTCGCCAGACAGACAGAGACAGAGAGACAGAAAGCGAGAAATCACCCCCCAGGGGAGGGGATGGCCATGCCGCAATCCTTTCTCCTCCATTCTCCTCGTAGAATCTTGGGCATGCACGCACAAGCACCTGACATGAGTTTTAAGCCACCAGGTCTGGGACGTGAACTGCGGTCGACTACATGGGAGTCCAGTGACATAGCCATTACGCTAACTGCTGGTCCTGTGCCTAATGTGTTTTTCTAACCACAGTCTGGGACTCAAACTGCACTGTCAGCCAAGTGGTATCTAACCACCTTAACCAATATGACATGGGATGGCCCTAAAGCATTTTATAATATTCATTTTTCATGACGTATTTGAACTTTTTGTATGTGTAATCAAGACTCTAAGCAATAAAACATACAAATTCAGGCTAAATGTCTCACACTAGGACCCCATAAATCTGGGAACATGATACTTAATCAAGAGTCAGAGAACATAAAGAACACTGTTCTTAAAAAGCCAAAAACTATGATCTTTTGATGAATCATCTTTTGAAAGAAAATATCTAGATCTTAAAGTGTGAGAATATTTCTTTAGTAAATTAATGTTGTGACTAGTAAGGAAGTGTTAAAATTTTTCTGCCCTATAATATTCAGAGTCCTAGGTGGAAAATTCCTGTTAAGAAAATATTTCTTGTCTTTTATGCCTAAGAAATTATAAATTAAAACTATATAATATCAGAGTTGGTTCTACGCTTTATCTATAATAATTAAATAATGAAAATCCCAGAGACCAGCAGTTGGCATAATGGCTATGTCACTGGACTCCCATGTAGTTGACCACAGTTCAAGACCCGGACCCAGTGGTTTAAACTCATGCCAGGCACCTGTCAGTGCGTGCCCAAGACCCCAAGAGGAGAATGGAGGAGAAGGGACTGTGGTGTGGCCATCCCCCCTGAGGGATGATTTCTCACTTTCTGTCTCTCTGTCTCGCTCTGTTTTCTGGCGAGCACATGCACTCTATAGCAAAAACCTCTAAAAAAAATAGTAAGCAATGAAAACCTTGATGTCAAGAGATTTGTTACTGTTTAATGTTAAAAGATCAGGGCCCAACCTGAATTCTAATAATTTGTGTGGGTGATTTCGATCAAGCACTTAAATGTTTATAGCCTCATTTCCCAATCTGTTAAAGTGTGGAATCATTAATTTTTTAGTTTGGGTTCTGCATAAACAGTGCCTGAGACAGAAATCTGAGTGCAGTGTATTTGAAGAGGTAATCACAGTAGAGGGAGGAAGGTAATAAAACCATGAAGGAAGAAAAGACAATAGAACATCCATTCCTGAGCTGGTTTTTAAGGTGAACAACTAACGCTCAGCGTGCCTGGGTGTTGTCCAAGGAACTATGCAGAATTGATCTCAAAATGATTCTTTCAGAGAAAGGAGAGTTGAGGTATTTAGTAATTCCTGGTTTCTTCTTGTTAAGGATTGCTCCCTAGCTGCATCTGAGTACGAATTGGGTGACTTTCCAAGGCTTCCAAGATGCTCTGAAGGTAGGAAAACCAGAGAGACACCATAGCATGTATTTGCTGGTGCGTGCTAAAAACAGATATGCTCACTGCATGTAGTGTAGGGACAAAAATGTTCTCCTGCTTCATTGGTTGCCACAACATTTAGTAAATTAATAAATGGATGTATTCAGAATAACGGTGGTGGGCACATTATATAAACAAGTGGCAACTCACAGATGTTTTAGAGCGCTACTAGTTGGTAGAGATTGTGCTCTGGATCCCTGTTGCTTACTTTTTTTTCCTTTCTTTCTTTCTTTTTTTTTTATTCTATGGCTAAGTATGCCTTCCCAAGCTTTACGTATATATGAGTAGACTTCAAAAAGTTTTTGGAAAATGGAATTATAGTATGAGTTTTTCCTAATGCAAAAAGATTTGTAATACAAGCAAGGTTTTTCATAATGTGTCTTCTCCATGAGTTTTTTAAAGACCCCGTCATAGGGCTGGCAAGTGGCATGGTGGTTAAGGGCATTGACTCCCACATGGCCAACTGTGGTTTCAATCCCGGACCTGGTGGCTTGCTTTCTCACTTTCCCTCTCTTTCGCTCTCTCTTGCTCTCACTCTGTCCTTCTCTGGTCAAATTAAAATAAATAAATAAAGTTAAATAAAATAATTATTTTTAAAAAAGAACCCTTATATACTTATATGTGAATATGATCACTCTTCTCTTTCCATTAGTATTTTATAAAATTCTTGACTATGCTGTTTCATTTACATCACTACCTGTTTGCACAAGATCAGGTGCTTCATTCATTTCACTTAATTGTATGAACCTAGAATGATCCTGTGCATAGGAAAATTTTAATACATATCACATTTTTAAACGTGTTTTTTTTTTTTTTGGAGAGGTTTTTTTTTTTTTTTTGCTATAGGGTGCGTGCGCTCTCCAGACAGACAGAGAGAGACATAGAGACAGAAAGCGAGAAATCACCCCCCGGGGGGATGGTCACGCTGC